AGGGGGGAGCGAGGGAGGGAGGGAGGGAGGGAACTGCGAGGGGCCTGCTTGAAGCAGTGACGACATGCAGGGCAGAGTGGGATTACTCAAAGTTCTAAACACTAACATTTATTCCGAGATTTGGGGGTTCGACTTCCAGAACTTGTTAGGGCGAATCCCTTCTCCACACTGGTTGTTAGCATCTCCCATCGCATCACAAGGTCACAGGGAACTGATGGCCTCAGGTGTGAACACAGGACCATATCCCTGGCCCGGGGCGGGGTCACCTTTGAAGCCCGTTTCTCTCCTTGCTCCGCTGTCTCCACCACTAATCTTGCTCACTGACCCCGGGTTACTGGCACTCCATGCTGGTGGGCAGCGTGTGGGCAGCTCTGGGGCTCTCCCTGACCTGCATCTCGGCCTTCAGCCTCATCTCCCCTGCCTGGCTCCAGACCCCTACCTTCTTTGGTGTCTTCTCCTACTGCTCCTGGCCTCAGGGTGACAGCTGGAGCCAGAGCTGTGCAGCCTTCAGGTCCCTGGATGATATTCCTGACTTTGCGTGGAAGGTGAGTCCTCAACTCATCAACTCACTGGGACCTCGGGGGGGTGGGGGGGGTAGACTATCAAACCCACAAGAGCAAAACAAAGACAAGCTCTGCGCACCCCCCCCCAACCCCGATCTGAGCCTCTGACTCTGTAGGGGTGGGGTGGGGTCTGCCTATTTGCATTTTAGCGGACCCCCCGGGAGGATTCTAAAACCCACATAGCACCTTGGCACACACTGAGGAAAGGTGCCCCTTCTTTGGGACACTATACTGCCACCTGCTGGAGTTACTGTGATCAATATGCAAATCTGTGATGACCCCAAGGCATCTCCTAAGAGGCGCGCAGTGTAGAACCTGCACACACCTCCCTGCCCACCCTCTATGCACTGCCAGGTGGGAAAACCACCACCAAGGTGTTGGGCGCCTCTGTTACCATGCACATTACCGAATTCAACAGTGGGGACAGTGGGTCAGGACGCCCAGTCCAGCACCTCTAATTACCCGTGCCTTCCAAAGGCTGGTAATTACGAAGGTAGCCTCTCCTGGGGACCCTCCATGCAGGGAGTCGATATAGGCAGGGTATGGTGGTTGCAGATCTAGGTCTTAATCCTGGCTCTAACACTTAATTAGCCGAGTGCCCTGAGGCAAATGACTCTACCTCCTTGGGCCTCAGTTTGTTTACATGTGAAATGGGGAAAATAACAGCACAGACCTCATGGGGTTTCCAGCCTCAGCAGCGGGTCAACAAGCAAAGGGAGCATCCTCCTGCCCCCAGCCCGGTCAACACCCTCTCTCCTCTCTCTTCCTGGCAGGTCTCAGCTGCGCTTCTCCTTGAGGCTGGCTCCAGTTGGCCTTTAATGCAATTCTCCTCCTGTCCTGGGTCCTGGCCCCCAAAGAGCTGCGTCCAAAGAGGGACAGTGGGCAAACGCCAGGGGTGCAACCAGCTGCAGGTAAACCCACTGTCACAGACACATGAAGAAATCCAGCTGAGACCAGAAGAACCTCCCAGCTGAACACAGCCCATATTGCTGACCCACTGAATCCCAAGCTAAATAAGTGTCTCTTTTAAGCCACTAGATGTGGGGTGGTTTGTTCTGCTGTGTTACTCCTGGGAACCGCAAAGATACAAGGGATGTGAAGTGATCCACCTGCCTTGAACTTTCTGGGGAGAGACCAGGCAGCTGTTGTGAGAATCTGTCCCCATCTGCGTGTGAGTCACTGCGGTGGGAGGACAGGTCCTTCAGAAACCTTTTTTTCTTTCTAATTAAAAAAAAAAAAAAATCCCCCAAACACAAAAGCGAAAATAACCCAGATTCACACATTTCTCCGCGTATATATATTTTCTCTCTATATAGACACAACTCTTCAGTAAACAGTTACAAGAGATGCTGGTAACACTGAGAAAAGGAGAGCACTCCACAGACAGAACGACTCCCACGCACTCGATGCCAGGACACGAGGACACACACGACATACAGAGAGACCTGGAGCAGCACAGAGAGCTGAATAAATAGGCGGTTATTCCAAACCACGGCCACGGACATGTCTCCGGAACACCGCGAGAGAAGGCAGAGAGGAAATCTTGTGCTGTGCTGTGTGACTAGTCTGTCATAAAATAAATAAGGATCAGAGGGCCTGGGACCTGGGTCTTGCAAACACAGCGTCCCCTGTGATGAGCAGCTATGCAGCAGAACGCACTTTTCTCTGGACGGGCTTTTCACACATTTTTTTTCCCATCTTGGGAAGCTGGGGGATCAGGGCGAGGAGATGTATGCTCCTGGGAAGCAAGGGCCACCTGGGCCTTGTCCATCCTGCCCCAAAGGCCCTGCACGGGGAAGGTGGGGGTCCAGATGCAGCTGAAGGAGCTGTGACCGAGGGAGGAGCCTTCCCCAGCACGCAGGACAGGGACTTCTCCGGTCCTGGTTTGCTCACGGCGGGAGGACTCACGCATCCCCTGTGCGAATGCTTCAATGTGCTTGATGTGTCTCCTCCCGTCTCCCAAACCCTACCTGCCACTCTCTGTGTCCCCAATCCTGGTGCACTCTCAGAGCCCAGTTGGCAGGACTGCTTTCCTGGAGGACAGGGGGGCAGCTGAACCACCTAGCCCAGGATCTGTTGGTGGACTGGCGACCCTTTGGGAAAAGACACGGCGGGGACCGTTTCCAGACCGAGCCGCCATGGAGAGCACACGCACCTACCCTGGCTGACCTCCGTCTTCCTCTTCCTTCGTCCTGAGTGAGCAAGGGCACTTGGGGCAAAGCTGGCCTCCCCGGCCACGCGGCTGCACCCACACACGCGCCAAGCTGCCGGAGCACCAGGCCCAATGTGCGGGCGGAGAGGCAAAGTCTTTCCTAGGGGGAGGGGAAGGGGACAGGACTCTGCCCTGCCCGGGGGGCTCGAGGGCGAAACTCAGAAGAGCCTGGGACTGTCGCGAGCCTGCAGACACGTCTCGGATCCCACTGCCCTGCAGGAAGACGCCCTTCTTGAGAAGACATCTCTCCCAGAGTCACGTAGAGGAGGGAGATGAGAGAATACAACACATGGGACCCCAGACGTCAAGGGGAGGGGAGTGCAGGCCTCCCGTGTGCCTTGTCTAAATGGGAGGGAGCCCCAGGACGCAGGCGGCTTAGGGAGACAGGCAGCGGGGTGGGAGAGACATTGGTAGCCTCTCCTCTAAGCCAGTGGGTCTCAAATGGGGGCATTTGGCAATATCTGGGGACATTCTGGGTAGTCACAACCGGGGTGGGGAGGAGGGTACTGCTGGCATCTGACGGGTAGAGGCCAGCGAGCTGCTCGACATCCTACAATGCACAGGACGCCACCCCCAAAAAGAATGACCCCAAATGTCAACAGTGCCCAGTGCAGAAACCCTGCGCCAAGCATCTCCCAGCCTGTCTGCCACATCTCCAAAGGCCCCTTTCAGAGTGCAGAGGGAGCCCCACAGACTCTCCTACACCCATTTCCAAAACAAGACCCTCCCCAAGTCTCATCCGACAAGACAGTCTGGAGGGATGGGGGAGGGAAGAAGAGAGAGGAGACCGTCCGGAGGCCTCGAACAAAGATGTTCCCTCCATCCACCGCCAACTCCCGCAGAGGAGAAATCCCAGGCACGGGCGATCTTTGGTCAAACAGGAAAACGTAAGGCTGAACGCAAGGGGCAACCCCTCGACCCCACTGCCAGAGTCGGGCAGTTTCTCTTTGCTCAGAAGTCCATGCTCACACAGACACCGGGGCCCCGCTCCCGGGCGGCCGGGAGGAAAGTGGGCAGGACAGGCGGGTGGCGGCTCGGCTGGCTGCCTGGGTGAGGCGGCCCTCACTTGTTCTCGATCAGAGTCTGCACCTTGTACACGAGGTCCCGGGCCAGCTTCAGGATCTGCTTGGTGTTGTGTCGCTCGGCCATTTCTGAAAGAGCAGAAGGCGACATCTCATGAGCCTCCTTCTATGTCCACCCTCGGGACACACTTCCAGCACCTAGAGGGGTCTCTGGGGAGTCCCCATCATTGTCGGGTGGCTTCATCCCCAGAGGGGCTCTCGAAGCAGAGACCTCGGGGAAGGCCGGCACCTCTGGACCTCAGTTTCCTCGTCTGTAAAATGGGGATTGTAACAGTACCGACTTCACAAGGTTACTGTGATGATGTTGTTCAGTGTATGCTTAAAAAATGTTAGGTCTTCTCAGTCCCTTCCTACAAATACAATGTCTGAGAATTTTCTAAGAAAGCAACGCCCGGCACACAGTAGGTGCTTAGAGCACGAAGGGAGGGAAACGACAGAAGGGAAGGGGAGGAAAGAAAGCAAAAATAATCATTCTATTGAGAGCCCCACAAAATGATCAAATCTTTAAGGCAGAAAAATCCTAAACTTAGACCAAAATCACGGAGAAGTCATTTACCGGAGGGAAAAACGCAGTAAGACCACGGTTCCCAAACTGGGTGCCGAGGTACCTCCGAGTGCCCTGTGAACTCAGGAAAACTGGGAGGGGGGATGGAGGGGATGCTCCACTTCTGTTGAACACCAGCGTGCGTGAGTTCACAAACTACATTTCACTCCTGCCGATCACTTCATAGCCTTGCGCAGCTAGGTTTTCAGCAAGCGCTTGCTGCGATAGAAAGCAAGTGCCACGTGAAAATCGCGTGGACAGGAAGTGGAGGTGGGGGTGTCCCCCCTCATTCCAAGGCTTGAGAAGCTGGGCAGAGTCCAGTGGTGCACACCTCCCATTAGTAACTGGACTTACTGACATCGGGGTAGCTGGTGAGGGGGACCAGGGGCACTCTGTACTATCTCTGCAACTTCTCTGTAAATCTGCAGTTAGTCTAAAATAAAATCTTATTTTAAAAAATGTTTCCAGGGGAAGGTCACAGGTGGCGTTTTTCTTGTTTTGCCTTTTCCAAAACCTCCTTTAGTTAAAAAAACCCCACAAACATTATAAATAGTAATAATAGTAACAACAGCGTCCTGCTATGGGTCCCCTCATAAGGGCCAGGTGTCACGTGACGGGCTTTATTTACATCCCGTTTAATTCTCCTGGCAGCTCTGTGATTGAGGTCTTAGCACCAATATTATCCCCTGGGACCTGCATCCCAGAGACATGAAGTGACTCGCCCAAGGTCCCTGAGCGGCAGAGCTGGGATAGGAATCCACATCTTATCTGATTTCCAAGGCCATGCCTTTTTCATGTCACCTCCACCGCCTTCCTTTCCCTGCCTTTCTTACACAGGTCCACCCTCCGAAGCAGACCCTGTTACCCCATTTCACAGATGAGAAAGCTGATGTTTAGAGAGAGACTAAATGGCTTGTCCATGGGCGCAGATGGCTAGTGGCAGAGCCAGGGTTTGCCCCGAGCTTGATATCAACACCCATGCTCCTGCCAGATCCCGGAGAAAACATATCCTCAGCATTACAAGATGTCAGCTCGTCCACAGGGAAGAGACAAAGGAAATGGGCAGAAGCCCCCTCCATCCCCTTCACTGTGCCAATCTCAGTAACTCTCCACCCCTCCCGAGCCCCAGGAAGGGGCCCTCTAGAAGCCCCCAGCCCCCAGATGAGCCCCTGGCCACGTGGGTACCGTTAAAGAATTTGATGATGTCTGTGAAATCCATGTTGTTCTCCAAGATGATGTCGCGGTAGACCTCCACGAGAGCCAGCGCGATGAACAGGACGTAGTGGGTGGACGAGACGTGTTTGGCTGCCCAGATGGTCTCCCAGACGGAGAAGACGTCATCATAGACGAGCTCTGCCGAGACACCAACCCCAACGCGGACAGAGTCAGCCACAGAGCTCACCGTGCTGCCCACCCTCTGGGAAAATCCCAGGCCAGCTGCGCTGAGCTTCTGTCCTGGTGCAGCGGACAGAGCTCCGGCCAGGCGCTAGGAGACCTGGACTCTGTCGTTTGACTATCAGAAGCCTCAGTTTTCCCCATCTGTAGAATAGGCCAAGCAAATAAGGTGGGTTGTCTAAGTTTCCAGTTCTGACCTTCTGCAAGTGGAGGAATTGAGCATGTGCAGGTTTGACTGACACTGACATGTCCCTGTTCTGCCCCTTGACCAGTGTCCCCCTCTCTCCATCTCCTTTTGCACCCATGGGGGTATCTCCCCTTCCCCCTGCACACAGAGCTGGCTGCAGCATCTGGGTCTAGTGAAGAGATAGGCTTTCTGTGTCCAATAAACTCAGTCTGCATCCTAGCTCCATCGCTTACTAGCAAGGTGACCTTGGGCTAGTTACTCTCTCTCCTCATCTCTACGTGGGGTGATGCTCACAGTAGTAAAAGGCTAACAGGATAATACGTAGAAATGGCTCAGCACAGTGCCTGGCACTTAGTGAACACCTCCATACGTATTAGATATTATTCTTAGCATCACCCCAAATTTGCGCCACAGCAATGCACTGTGTTATACATCATTTCTAAGTCCCATGTGAAACATGCTCCAAGGGCTTCCAATTCTTGGTCTCTGATAAGCAGCACAACAGAATGGAAGGGGACTGGCCTTAGAAGGTCGACAGAGTGGGGCTCAGATCCTGGCTCTTTTCCTCCTAGCTCTGAATTGAATTTTTCTCAGACTCAGTTTCCTCATCTGTACAATGGGGACTATATCAATTCCTAATGCATGGTGTCATTATAAGATAAGGGAGGTGAACCGATCATTAAAACTCAGTAAATGGCTGCTACTCTCCTCCACTAGCTTTTGCCCTGTGGTCTCTTTTCCCCTGAGGCTCTGCCACAAAGAGCCTGGGAACAGGGCCCCAGTCTGAAGTCTGTACCTCGCTTGAAATCCAGCAGGAACCAGCGGTAGCAGAAGTAGAAGTGAGTGTAGTCCCCATTCTGATGCATCAGCTCAAAGAGCTCCGAGTCCAGGATCTGTCAAAGGAAGGAAAGGTGGGCATCGGTCTCCTGGGACAAGGCCAGACCAGAGGGGACAGCTGAATAAATGACGGTTCATCCCCATACCAGACACCTGACAGCCCTTAACAACCAAGTGGAGTTAAAAACGGGCAAAGGATTTGAAGTGGACATTAACCTAGCTCAACCTAACCCAGCTGTTTCTCCAAAACAGATATGCAAACGGCCAACGAGCACGTGAGAAATTCTCAGTGTCCTAAGCCATTAGGAAAACGCAAATCGAAATCATAAGGAGATGCCATTCACATCCACTGGGGTGGCTGTAATAAAAACGACAGACAGCAAAGCGCTGGCAAGGATGTAGAGAACCTGGAACCCTCGTATGCTCCCGGTAGGAATGTAAAATGGTGTGGCTGCAATTCTACTCCTAGATGCATCCCCAAGAGAAAGGAAAAAATATGCCCACAGACAAACCTGAACACGAATGTACAACATTATCCATAACAGCCCAAAAGTGGGAACCACCCAGACGTCCATCGACAGATGAATGGATAAACAAAACACGGTATATCCGCTGGCTGGGCTAGTATCTGGCAATAAAAGTGAGTGAGGTACTGCTACATGCTACAACGTGGAGGGACCATGAAAACACTAAGTGAAAGCAGCAGACACAGAAGCAACATATCGCACAATTCCATTTATAAGAAGCGTCCAGAATAGATAGGCCTGTGAGACAGAGAGCGGACTTGTCGTTGCGGGGGGCTGCGGGGAGGGGCTGAGGCTCCTGGGTATGGAGTTTCTTTAGGGGGCAATGAAAGTGTTCAGAAATTAGACAGTGATGATGACTTTCGGAAGTGTGACTATTCTAAAAACCACTGAATTGTACATTGTAAAAGGGTACATTTTATGGTATGTGCTGTACATCTCAATAAAGCTGTGTGTGCACACGCGTGTGTGCTCACATGCATGCACAAAACAGACCCAAGGAAAAGGGCCAGTACAGTCACACATCCTTTTAAGGCTGGGCCATGACTTGTTCATTGCGTGTTTGTGGCGCCTGGACAGAGTCAATGTTCGGTGAGAATGAATCTGGTGGAATTGATTTGAGTTGTGGAAGACTGAGCTGAACTGAGGTTTTTAGTTCAAATAAGAGGTTAAGTTGAATTGAGTTTCTGAGTTCAACTCAGCTGGGCTGGGCTGAGCTGAACTGAAGTGAGTAAGGTAGGACCGAGTTACTGAGTTGAGTTAAACTAGGTGTGGCTATTAAGTTGACCTCAGGTCCCCTGGGTTGAGCTGGAGCAAGTTATATTATTGAAGAGAACTGACTCGTACCTGGATTAGTGACCTCATGTTGGCAAAGTGTGTGTCCATGGCGCCTCCATGGGGGAAGTTCTGGTTCATTCTCTTCATGAGCTCCGTGAAGCAGCTGAAGGCGAGGGCCTCTAGGGAAAGAGCACAGGAGAAACCGTCAGCTCCGCCACGGCCCAAAGAACAGGAGGTCCCAAAGCGATGGTCTTGGGCCCTGAGCTGGGTCACAGGGCCCAGAGACAGTGAGAAACTAGTTATTCCATTTCAAGGCATGCTCTCCAATCTTTTTTTGGAGGAAAGCCAGCTGACACCTTTACTGCTTCGGGTGGAGGTGGTGCTGAGGCACTCTGGGTGAGGCGGCCACCTCCTCTCCACCTCCTCAGGTCTCTGGCTGCGCAGGATGGGGCTGGCCCTGCGGATGGCGGCCAGGCGCAGGTCTGGGTGGTACTTGTTCTTGCAGATCCTCCACTGGATGCTGCTCAGGGTGGTCCGAGTGTTCTTGTTGATGGTGGTCTGCATGCAGGAGGTGGCCGGCTTCGGCTGGCTGGATCTCCACTTCATGATGACCCCTACACCTGTGCTATCGGTCGCCAGCTCCATGCCTACCGCCTTGTGCTGAGTCAGCCTATTGTAGCCGAAGGATCTGAGGGCCTTCAAATTATTGGACTCGGTGCTGTATGTCTGCTTGTCCCTCGTGACCAAGAAGCTCGGCAGCTCTGTGCCACCATCCACTGCAGGTGGGCAGACATGGTGGCAGCTCCTCTCGCTGCAGCGGTCCAAGTCAAAAAAAGAGCTGCTCTCCAATCTTAATTACCTACCCCCTACCTTGGAAGTTAGTGAAACATTTTTTTCTTTTAGAAAATGATGGTGACAGCAAAGTGCTCTGTTTTAAAGATCTCTATTTGCTGTAATAAAAACTTGACGATGTTTTGTTGATCCCAAACATTTTTTTTTCTTCTTTGAAATTGTACAGGGTTCATGAGATTCTCAAGTCTGGGAAACTTTTGGATTAAAACAGCAAACGTCAGTATTGGAAGGACGTTATGCAAAGAAATGGTAAAGTTACGTTCAGAAAAGCTGCTGTGAGAGTCACTACATACATTAAGAAACAGCTCTGAGAAGTCCCGCAATAAAGAAATCTGTTTCATACAGTTTAACCCAGTGTTTAAAAAATTTTTTGGAAAAGGGTATCTTTCTTCTTCTTAACACCTAGTAATGTTGGAGTAAGTTATGAGGTTTCCCAAGGCACAGCAGGATCTCACTCATCTTTTAAAAGACTATTTTTTAGAACAGTTTAGATTTACAGAACAATTGAGAAGAGAGTAGAGAGAATTTCCATATACCCCACACCCCAGTTTCCCATCACTAACATCTTACGAAAGTATGGTGCATTTGTTATAACTGATGGCCCACTGATAATATATTAACTAAAGTCCATAGTTGTATGGGGTTTTTTCGTTGTTTTTTAAATCTGATGCCCTTTTTTCTGTTCCAAGAAGCCATCTAGGGTAACACATGACACACAGTTGCCACATCTCCTTGGGTTCCACTCCGCAATGGGAGTTTCTCGGGCTTTCCCTGTTTTTGATGGCCTTGACGGTTTTGAAGAGACTTGTCTGGTATGCTACAGAATGTCTCTCTCCTGGAATCTGGACTGTCTGCCAGTACTTTGTTGAAGATTTTTGCTTTTATATACATAAAGGACATTAGCCTGTACTTATCTTTTCTTGTGACATCTTTATCTGGTATTGGCACCAGGGCACCAATGGGTCCTCATTAAGAACTGGCCTGAGAATGAGTTGAGAAGTGTCCCCCCTATTCCATTTGGGGGACGAGTTTGTGCAGAACTGTTATTAATTCTTCCTCAGGTGTTTGGTAGAATTTACCAGGGAAGCCAGCTGGGCCTGGGTCTTCCTTTGTATCTCATTCATGTCTGTACAAGCAGTGGCTAGCAAAGGCCTGGCTGGGTGGCAATAAGTCCTGGCCATCATGGAACAAGAGGGCTTTCTATTTTATGGGGACCTTGATGCGTTCAGCAGACAGGTGTTCTGAGCACCTGCGCTGACACAAAGTGAAGTTCAGCCCCGTCCTCTGCGGTAGGAAGGAAACTCCCCCCAGCCCTTGGGCGGGAAGAACACTCACCATCGTCCAGAATGACCAGCAGTGGGGCCAGGAGGTCACACATGCCCTGGACATAGCCGATCTCAATGTGCTGCCAGATGTAGCTGAGAAAGACACAGGGGCTCAGTGCAGACACCCACAGCCTGCCTCTCCCACCCACTCTTCCTCTCCTCCTCTGTGGTTCGGACCCCATCCCTCACCCGGACCACGCCCTCAACCTCCTGCCTGCATCTCCATCCCCAGTGTCACGCTCTTCAAACACTGCAGGCTCAGCCACAGGATGGCCTTCCTGAAGTCCAGCTCAAGGAGGTCACTACATTCTCAAAAACCTCCACAGGCTTCCACCGTGTGACAGCACAGTGTCCAAACTCCTTAACTGGGGGGACAATGCATCTATAGTCTCCTCCCAACCCAGGTTCACAGCCTCACCCATCACGTCTCAGTACTTCCTCCTCTCTGGCCACACGGAGGTGGAATAGTTGAGAGGGGGTGCTTATTAATGAGTCAGAGCAGGGCTTAGGAAACCTTTTCTGAGAGGTCCAGGTAACAACTATTTTCAGCTCTGTAGGCCGTATCTTCTGTCTCAACCACTCAGCTCTACAGGAACAATCACAGACACGATGCAAACAAATGGGCATGGCTGGGTTCTAATAGCTTCTTTACAGAAACAAGTGACGGGCTGGAATTGGCCCGTGGGCTATAATAGTAGTTTGCAAACCCAAGTTAGAGTAGCAGGGAAAGAAGTCCAGAGTGTATTACTGAGCATAAAAAGCAAGTTGTAGAAAAAGAGTTTATAGTATAATCCCATGTAGGTAAGAAGTGTTTTAAACTTTAAAATATGTATGCTATTATATATCATATACTATTATGCTATATCATGTGTGTGTATATATATATATATATATATATATANAACAAGTGACGGGCTGGAATTGGCCCGTGGGCTATAACAGTAGTTTGCAAACCCAAGTTAGAGTAGCAGGGAAAGAAGTCCAGAGTGTATTACTGAGCATAAAAAGCAAGTTGTAGAAAAAGAGTTTATAGTATAATCCCATGTAGGTAAGAAGTGTTTTAAACTTTAAAATATGTATGCTATTATATATCATATACTATTATGCTATATCATGTGTATATATATATATACACATATATAGCTTTGGAGGAATAATTCCTGATATATTAGCAGCAGTTGCTTCTTCTGGGTGAGTAGTATTGATGGAAGGAATTTATCTTTACACCTATGAGCTTCTCCTTTCCTTGGTTGATTTAGGATTTTAATAAGCATGGATTACTTCCATACTTTTAGAAATAAAAGTAATTTTTAATGGAAAGTAGTAAGTAGCCGCAGATCTTGGCTTAATGAAATAAAGCACAGGTTCCAGAGCCCGAGAGGTGTGTGGATGAGCTCCAGCCAAGCGGCTGCCAGCCGGGGCGCCTGGAGCAATGTGGTACCCGCTGAGCCCCCGCTTCCTCTCCTATAAAGGGACATAATGCTTATCTCCTAGGCCTGCTGTGAGGATTAAGCGAGACGATGTCAGTCAAGGGCTCGGGATCGAGCCTGGTATACAGGAAGTGCCTAATAAGTGTCCTCTATTATCATCACCACTGCGTCCGATCCCCTGCAGGCGCGGCCCTGCCCCCGCTCCAGCCACCTGCACATGATGTTGCGCAGCTTCTCCAGGTTGGCGGGCGTGAAGTACCAGTAGTTGCGGTCACACCTCTGCACGTCCTTCTCGATGCGGTGCAGGTTCACTGTGTACAGGTCCAGCAGCTCCGGCTGCCCGCAGGAGGGAAGCACAGGACAGTCACAGCCCAGCTCCCCTTCTAGAGGGTCCCGCTCCCGCCCCCTCCTGTCCTGCTGGAAGAGCACCCTCTACCTGGGCCAGGTGGGTATGTCATTTGGTTTCTGTTGTCCTTTTCTAAGAAAACCTGTCACTTTGTATGAGGGATATTTTAAAAAAATTTTTCTTTGATAAAACAATCCTATGAGGGGCATGGACTTATTGCTCCCATTTCACAGATGAAACTAAGAGAGTTATAACTGTAGCTGGAAATAGGTCCTTCTCTGCTGAAAACCGGGTAATAATAACGGAAGAACTGAACGGAAGTCCAGTTCTGAATTACGCTGGACCTGAGGCCTTGACCCAACAGTCCTGATGAAACAGCTCAATGATGTGACAAGGGGAAAAAAGAACATCTAAAGGCCAACATTAATCCAAAAAGGCAAGAAAGTACCAAAGCTGGCTTTTGCCTTGAGGGAAGCTGCCAACGGGGAGGATTTAAGCTTGGATTTAACGGTGGTAAGGAATCTAGTGAGGCTTTCGCATTAAGGCAGGACCCCAAAGAGCCAAACTAAAATATTCACAAGATGCTGGACCTGAGTGTAAGGCGAGATAGTTGCCATCAAGGCTGCTATGGACTGAGCGCTCACTGTCTGCCAGGCACAGAGGGCCTGACTCAGTCACTTTGAAAACAACTCAGGAAGACAGGGAAACTGAGCGACCCATCTAAGCTGGTCACTTTGAACCCAGGACTGTTTGGCGGCACAGCCTGTGTTCTTTAAGTATTTTATCATCACCTCCCCCGCGATGGGGAAAATGCAATGAGCCAGAGCCGTCTGGGTAACCGAGATCTGGGCTCCACTCCCTCCCTCCTGGGGCTGTAGAAAACCGAGGGGACGATTCTAGACACTCACGGAGTAGGTGACGCCACTGGATGACACAGGGGACGCCTCATTGTTGGCAGAAGTGCTCACGGCCAGAGACACCAAGGCAGGGAAGAGACTCTCCATCTCCGGCTCCTCTGAGAGGTTGTCCTCACTGTCCCCCCGGCTACACTTCTCCCCCTCGCTGCGCCCCCAGCCCTCCAGCGGGGCCGCCTCCTTCTCGGGCAGAGCCACGTCCATGCTGCCCGGGATGGACATGAACTCGTCCAGGCTCTCGTTGGCGAGGAGGTCACTCTCCAGGCTGTCCTGCACGGCCAGCTCCTCCCGGGGAGCCTCGTCCCTGGAGGTGGTGGCCTCGCTGCTCTGCCCTTCATCCACGCTGCTGTCGCCGGGTCGGAGCCTCAGGGAGGCGCTGCGCTGGGCGTCCATGACACTGTCCTCCGTGCTCAGGCTGGGCTCCGAGTGCTCCGAGAGGCCGGAGGAGAAGTTGTGGGAGGAAGGATGGCCGGAATCAGGGGAACACGGGCCATTCGCCAGGTTCCCGTTGGGGATCTTGGGCTGTTTCTCCTCCAGCCTGCCTTCCGCCTCCACCTGCTCCACTTCGTCCACAGACTCGAACACCTGAAGACGAGGTGCACAAAGACAGACGGACTAGGATGGACACTGGTGCTGCTTCCAGCAGTAACCTGAATATCCATCAACAGGGGATTGGTTCAGCCACGGAACATGCATCGGTGGAATACTACACAGTCAGTAAAAAGAGAGAGCAGAACAGGATGTAATACATGCTCCCATTTGTGAAGAATAAAAAAGCGACCTGCGTGCATGAACATGCACAGAACAATCCAGAAAGCAACACAGAAGCACTGCAGAGGGATCACTTAGGAATTTAAATGGAAGGAGAATACGTTTCACCATACAAACTTATGTGCACATAATTTAAGTAAAATATTAGTTAACAACATAAGGAACAGGCTAAACAAAGCATATTCTATCCATGTGGCTGACTATTATGGATCCATTTTCAAAAGTAGTTAGATGCACAGATGACCCTTGACCAACGTTGGGGTTAGGGGCACCGACCACCCACATAGTCAAACATCCACATATAACATTTGACTCCCCCCAAACTTCATTACTAATAGCCTGCTGTTGACCTGAAGCCTGACCGATAACATAAAGTTAACACATTTTTATATGTATTAGATACTGTGTTCTTACAATAAAGCTAGAAAAAATATATATATTTATGGTATTGTACATATTTATAAAAAAAAATCTGCATATAACTGGACCTGCACAATTCAAACCCGTGCTGTTCAAGGGTCAACTACACATCAAATACTATGGAAAAATCTCCAGAATACATCTCAAAGATTTAGTTGTGGTTCTTTGTGTCCTTAGGCTACATCCTGTCAAGGATAGACCGTACAAGACCCTGTCACTTCAAATATTTCTTCTCTGTGTGGTTATGTCACCAAGTTGGTTCACTGTTAATTTCAAATGTATCCGTTTTTTAATTTCTTTTGATTAAATTACTTTAAATTATGTAAAAAAAAAAATTTACCTAACTCCAAAGTTAAAACTAGAAAACATGGTATATTCAGGGAAAGGTAGCTTCTTTCCCTGCCCCCACCTCCCATTGGATTATTTTCTGGTTTGTCTTTCCACTGTTTTTGAAAACAGGTGCAAATACATGCACATATTAATATTTTTTCTTTTTATACAACAAGTCTCATGTATACTTTTTGTGCTCAGCTTTTTTCTTTAATTTTGAGTAAGACTGAATTAATATTCTTTTTCATTGAGTGAAATGGAAAGTTGTTGAACAGTAAATACATATAATGGTGTTGATGTAGAAATTTTAAGACTACCAGACATTGCAACATGGTGTCTACATGCTGTCTACATATTTCTGCGTGTGTGAAGTCTCACAGAGGGTCTGGAAGGATACACAGCCAATGGTGGCAGTGCTATTTCTAGGGAGGGCAAGTGGGGGTTAAGGATGGCCCAAGCCAAATTTAGCTTTCTTTGCAGTATTTACATGTTTTTTATAGGGAAAATAGATTCATATATTACTTACGTAATTAAAAACACAATCTTTAATGCTAATATAAAAGTTAAAACAAATAAACCATGTGACCCGGAGAGGATGGGCATCCAAGTCCATTACTCCAGGCTGCAGGGAGGGTGGTGGGCAGGGAGGAGGCGGGGCCTTGGGAAGGTCACCTGTGTGCTGCTGCTGGAGTCGCTCTGCAGGCGGATGTTCTGGTGGCCAGAACTGCAGCTCTGGGAAGACTAAGAGAAAAAGAGGCAGGAGGGAGCGTCATGAGGCTGCATGTTCCCGGCTCAGGGTCCCTGCCCTGAGCTCAAGAGGGGCTGCTGGGCTGGGAGTGAGGCAGCCTAGTTTTATCTCTACTCCTGACTTGAGCAAGTCCCCTCTCAAGGCCTCAGGTTCCCATCTGTAAAATCGAAGGGGTGGGAGTCTCACTTTCTGCTCCCTGGAGCCTCCCCAGAGGCTACACCACCCTCCGGGCCTCCACCTCCCACCCCTGCAAGCAGGAAGCCCCATCTGTACTGCTCTGTGCTTGACTCTGGCTAACATTTTAGTTAGACACAGAGTGACCTGCTGTATGAATGGCCTGATTTTTTACTCCCTCTCTGTATATGTGCTTTTTGCCCTGTAACTTCTACCTCCTGCCTGCTCTGATGCTAGGCTTGACCACGTGCCCTGCTTTAGCCAGTGGGATATTAGCAAAGTGGCCAGGGCAGAGCCTGGATAGAGAGCTTGTGTGTGTCTCTCTTTACGATCTGCATTCACTGTGATAACATGCCCAGGTTAACCTGCTGGTGGATGAGATGTAGAGCAGAGTTGAGTCATCGGGGTATATGAGAGAGCCCCTGAAGGTCAACAAAACTTTCAGTTGAACATCAGAGCTCAGAACTGCTCTGCTGGCCCACAGACTCATGAGTAAAAGGAAATGCGTGTTGTCGGAAGCCACTGACATTTGGAGGTTGTTTGTTATGCAGTATTAGTGTGGCGATGAATGGCTGATACATCACTAGAGAACTAACTTTCTTCTCAGCTCCTGTTTTGGGCCCCTAAACTAGAGATTCTGTGAGACCAGCTATATCTGACTTGGTCACTGAAGTATTCCTGATTTTCCAGGACATTCCTGATGGTACCTGGCATATGGCAGGTACTCAGTCAGCATTTGTTGAATAAATGAACATCTAGTGCTGTGGTAGCTGCTTTATAGACACTATTTTATTTAAGCTACACACAAACCTCCCCTCTAAATGATTAGTCCCATTTGACAGATGAGGAAACTGAGGCCCAGAAGTACGGGTGCTTGCCTGAGGCCCCAGAGCTAGGAAATGCTGGGGCTGGAGTTCAAACTCAGGTCTGTCAGACTCCAAAGTCGCCTTCCACCCAAAAACTAGGGGTGGGACAGAGTCTAGGCCCCAGACACCCAGGCCTACCACAGCCTGACAGAGCGGATCCTGGCCTTCACACCCCACCCTCCACTCCGAGGTGCCCCGCCATCACCTCATTGCTGATGGTGGAGTCCCGGTGCATCATCCGGTGCAGGTGACCATCCAGGCTGGCCCCTGAGGAGCACTTGGCCAGGGCAGCTGCGTGGGACTCCCGCTCTCTCTGCCGCACGATTGCCTCACAGCCCAGCCATTCGGACATGGTCTGTGCGTAGCAAGCATGAATCTGCTCGTCCACCTGCCAGGGCAGATGCAAGGTCACCCCAAGTGCTGGGAGCCCTGGGGAGACCAGGTGGCTCTGACCTGGGATCCTGGGCTCTGGAAACACCCATCCAACGTTCATGGCATAACATCCAACCAACATTAACTGAGCACCAACTACGTGCCAGGAAGAGGGAAGGAAGGTAATAAAGAAGGTGCGAATCTACAATTATCTCAAAATAAAGTTTGTTTAAAAACAATGACATCCGTGGCTTGTGCCGTGTTTCTATTGGACAGCGCTGCCCTGGAGCTTCCCGGCTGCCCCCCAGCTCCCTGCCCCAGCTTGGTCCCAAATGGGACCAGGGCTCCCCCAGCCCCACAGTACCAGGCTCCTTTTGTTGCCAAGGACCCCACTGCCCATCGGAGTAACCAACCTCCTTCCTTTCGGTTTCTGTCATCCCGAACTGGTAGTGGCCCAGCAGGAAGGGCCACACGGCCTTGCGGATCTCAGGCTGGATGCCCCCGTAGTAGATGAGGCGCAGCAGCTCCTGCTCCTCATAGCTCTGCGGGGGGGAGAGGAGGGAGAGCAAAGGGTTCGGTCAACAGAAATCCAGGGGCAGCCTCGGGCCCAGCAGCTCTGCTCCCCAGGCCTCACCCTTAGAGATCCTGGCATGACTGGGCAAAGCCGTAAGGACCCAGTATCCGCTGCAAGAGCAAAACCCTGGGAAGCCCTCACCTGCCCACCAACAGGAGAACATTACGCGTGGCGTGGGAGCACCACACGCGAGCAGCAAGGGCAGGGGGTGCAGCTAGGAGAACCTACACAAAAAGATGTTCACTGTGTGTTGATAAGTGGGGGAAAACCAAGATGCAGATCATGTCTAGCGTGAACCTATTTTTGTTAAAAAGGAAAGGTGAGTGTATAATGAACTTCTATTCTACTTAATTTCCAGTCAATTTTGCATGCTGTGCTTTTATTTGGGAATATTACCTCGGGATTTTTAATCTTGACTAAGTGCTAAGAAAATTGTTTTAAAGCAAATGAATCCACAGTGAACACTTGCCGCTGGTTCTGCATACACTGATCATTTTGAGGCACGCCAGGATGACTTTAACAACAGTTTGTTCTATTGTGGAGTAGATTTTTTCTCTTTCAAAATTCATTTTTAGGCAGAGGCTCTGCAGTTATAGTGAGTCAAGCTGGGGGACCAGCATGTCCTGTGTGTGTGTGCTCGTGTGTGGAGAATGCTAATGGCTCTGTAGGGCACTGGGATCCTGTTTCCTCTCACCTCTTCATTTCACATTCCAAAATTAAAAGCTTATTTCTCATCTTAATGCTAGTCTTAGATGTATCCAGCCACAACAGCAAAACCCGCCATTCTTTTGTCCCTGTTGGGAATTTTGGTTTGTATTTTGTAGGACGGCCTTGTCAAAGCTGTTTAAAAACCAGAGAACTAACTTGTGGCTGAGGCTGTGAACCCTGCCTCAAAAATCCACGTGCTTTACTCCCAGAGTCCACAGATGGACTCCGTTCCCCAGCCTCCCTTGCAGTTAGGTGTGGCCAAGTGACAGACTTCTGATCAATGGGATGTGAGAGGAAGTGACATAAGGCCTTTCCAGGCCAGGGCTTTGAAGAAACAGGTGTATTCCCTTCACACGCTCCACTTCCCCTCTGCTGCCTGGAGGCAGGTGACCACGAGTCCCTGAAGGATGGTGGGGCCACAAGACTGACAGACCCCCCTGGAGGGCAGCGAGATGCCCACTCAGCAGGAATGCCCACTCAGGACTGTTAAGTGAGCAAGAAATATACCCCTGTAGTGGCGATCAACTGGAATAGCTGGGACTATTTATTAATACAGTTCGGTCTACCCTAATCCCTAACGCAAAGTGCAACCAAGAATGGTGAAAACATAGCCAACAGGTTGTGAAAGGTTTGCAAAAATGTTAGATGAAAAATATTTGTTTTCAACTAGTGTTTCAACCAACTTATCCCCAGACTAGTGCCTCCCAAATTCAGGAGATCACTAGAAGCATTTGGGGAACTTTGAAAAAATATAAATTCTTGGGCTCCACTCCCAGAGATGCTAAGTCAGTAAAGCTGGAGTGGAGCCCAGAAGCCCATAAATCTTTTAAACTCCTCAGGAAACGTGCACTCCATAGGCTGCCGGGATTCTGAACACCAGGACCTTTTGAGAAAGTAACTGGCATATCTATTTAAATTTTAAATGCACATCAATCTATCTTATTTCTAGGAATCTGCTCTCAAAATGAAAGCACCAGTACAGAAATAAATGTGCTTATAAAGATGTCAACTATAGCACTGTTTGAAGTATTTTTTTAAAAAAAGAGGCCAGATATCTATATCATTAGGGAAAGATTTGAATTAATTATGGCCCACCCATATAGGCGGTATTATGGTTCTAACATTCAATATTTCACCTTGAGATATTAAAATACATCCTGAATATAAAAGTTGGCCACTTAAAATACAAATATAATGTCATGTCATTTAAAAAAAAATACAAGTTACAGATACATTTTTATAGATACATCTATGGATGTATCAGCATAGAAAATGTATGATAGGGTCACACCAAACTAATCCTACTCAACTAATTCAGGGGATCAGAACTAGAGGAATGTAGCAGAAAGATGGTATTTTTTAAAAATGGTATTGTAAAAGCGTCTCTCCTTCAGAGTCAAACTTCAGACCAGCTCCTCTGAGCCCTTTCTGACGAGGCTTCATCTCTGCGTCCTGCCCTCCACCTGCTTAGCCCAGTTGTAGCAAAAATCCTATTAGTTTAGTGAAAATCTCCACCTTGACATCTGATCAAATCCCTCATCCCCCACCCCTGACGTACAGATCTCTGGCCTGTCTTTAGCAAGACTCCCCTACCCTTGATGTCTCCTCTTAGTAACTTTCCATCCAGTGGCCCCTCACTCTGCTCATTGGCCATAAATCAACAGCTGTCTCCGCTGCATCTGGAATGGAGCTAAGTTCTATTCTGATGCCTCTTTTGCAATAGTACTGAATAAAATCTGCCTTCGCAGCCAAAATGTCAAAATGAAGATAAAATTTAAAAATTTGTATTCTATATATAAAATTTGCATTTTTCCATCATCGAACTGCTACGGTAAGTGGGCATTCCTCCTGTAATTCAGAAAAACAATCGTTTTTAGCAAGCATGTCAAACAACCCCTCTGCTTGTCTGGATTTGAGGGCCGCTCTGCTTTTCTCAGCCTCCCTGACTCTCACCCCAAGGGGCAGAAGCAGGCAATGGCTCTTGGAACTCTCAGAAGAGGGGGGGCCTTCAGTTTGGCTATGCGAGTCCCCACAAGCAGACGGGTCTGTTCCTTAGATGACAAGATGCCCCCACCCCCTGCAGTCTCTGTCCCACCGCAGGCAGAGCCAGGCCGAGCCTTACTGTGCTGTCCTGAAGGTACTGCTCCCAGATCCCGGCCGTCAGCCCATGTCCAGCATCGCAGGGCACGTCTGGAGACACAATCATGTGATTGACCAGGGCTGACAGGTGGGTCCTCACGGTGGACAGGTGTCTGCAGTAGGCAAGCCCTGTGGGGGGGAGAGGGGAAGGGTCACCATCCACCATCCAACCCTCCTTGCCTAGTCTCAGAGTCTCCCAAGTGCTGTCCACAATCGTCCTGAGCCCTCGTGACCCAACGTGTTCTCGTCACCCCCTTTTTCCAGGTAAGGAAGTTTAGGCTCAGAGGGGGAAGGCACGTGCTGGCTCGATTGCTAGTAGCTCTGTGACCCTGGGGAGGTCCTACCACCTTTCTCAACCTTGGTCAGGGTGCTGCCACCTCCTCTGCTGGAATCCAAGGTTTTTAATTCACAGGCTGGAGGCAGGGAAGGAGCAGGCAGGAAGGGCCTAGTGACTCTGCAGGCTCCCTGCGCCTCTGGGTGCCCCCCATCCACCCCGAGAGAGGAAGACGATGGGAGAGGTGGAGCTGGACAAACACGGGCCTGGCAAGGCATAGCCGAGAAGATACTGAGGGCACCGGTTCTCTTCAAAGAATGCCTGCCAACCTTCTCCCAATCCATCCTGGGCACCTGGAGGGCACGGTGCCCGGCACACGAGAGGCACTCAGCAAATACTGGCTTGTGTTTGCTTTGACTGTGCACCTTTCTTCTGGCTCTTCCCCACCATCTCATCCTGAACTCCCAGCGAGGACCCTGAACCTTCCAGAGCCCGAGGACTCGCCTCTGCCTACGGTGATGATGACGTAATAGCTAACACTTACCCAGCACACACTATGTGCCAGGGAGCGGTCCCCTGAGTTTACATAACTTAACTCATTTAATTCTCGCCATGTTATAGACGGAGAAACTGAAGCACAGACCGGTTTCACCACTTGCCCAGGTCACACGGCTAGAAGTGTGGAGTTGGGATTTAAACCCAAACTGCCTGGTTCCAGAACCTGGGCTCTCAACTGCCATCATTGAGCCACATTGTGTGACGACATCATTCAAAACCCTGCTAAACCCCCTCCCCTCCATCCAGGAAGCTCTCTGTGCCAGGCCCTGCACTGGGCACTGAGGATAGGTCATAACAGAACAGGCAAAAACCTTGATCCTGGAGAGCTCACGTTCTCGCTGCCTCTCCAAGCACTCAGGGATATGGCCTGCACTGCTATTTCGCAGGCCCATGCAGGATGTGTTAACACTTTTCTAGCATTGTGAAAATATACACGTTTTTCCTCTCCCCCACCTGGGCTGAGAGGCGGGAGGACTAAAACCTGCTAAAAATCGATATAGCAGAGTGGAAAAAACAGTGCCTCTGCAGTCAGGCAGGCCTGGGTTTGAGTCCCAGCCCTGCTGCTTATTAGCTGTATGACCCTGGGCAAGTCACTTTGCTTCTCTGTGCCTTAGTTTCCTCATCTGTTAAAATGAAATACTCAGAGTACTTATGAATTTAATCTTTAAGTTCTTGGGAAGGGATCAGGCCACCTTTCTCTTCTGTTTCTGCCCATAGGAGAAGGGTACTGACAGTTACTGAGCACCTATGACATGTGATGCTAGGTTCTAGGGTCCTTATATATGCTTTTCATTCAATCTTGAAGACGAACACTCTAAGGTGGGCACTAGGAATGCAACGGTGATTAAACCAAACCCCGGCCACCAAGGAAACCTCACTGTTCACTGCCCTCTCTTGGACCAAAGTATAATATTTATACCCAATCTGTAGATGAGGAAATTGAGGCCCAGAGAAGTTAATGTAACTTCACCAAAACCAGGCATCTAGGAAGCAGGAGCACAGGTCTAAACTCCAGAGCCAGGCTCCTCCCCCTGAAATTCATGGCATGCAGTAGGCATACAATGAATGCTCCCTGGAGATTACAATGGAAAGAAAGTCAATACGCACATCCATAGAAGGCTCTGGAAAGGATCTGGTACTTCATATTGTCACAGAGAAGCTTCAGGGGAGCCCTGCAGGTGGAGGAAAAAGGAGACACTTAGAGCAGGTCCACACACAGCCCAGGTTTCCTGGAGGGGAGACAACTGATTATCTCTAGGAGAAGATTAAAGTCAGCCAGTCAAGGGAGCTGTTGGGGGTATTATTTCTCCTAATACAGCATCACTGCCCCTTCTGCTGTCAGCGTGGGAGTCACTCCCCAGCTATGTCCCTGTGGTTTGGGCGGAGGTGATTCTAATCAGTACGTGACTTAGGCCAGAGTCACAGTGATTGGGTCAGAGGTGGTCATGTGATCCAACCTGGGCCTGTGAGAATCAGCCCTGGGGTTTCCATTGGAACAACTGGGAAACAGGCACTTTCCCCTGATTAAGTTCCTGGGCCAAAGGGATATGGGGCAGGGCAGGGGCAGTGGCAGCTGGGGATCCGTTTTTACTACTGCAGAGAAGGGCCTGCCTGAGAATGAAACCATCACAGTGGCAAACAGAGGCACGTGCCAAAGAAACAGAGAGATTCCTGTTTTGAGCATCTGGATCCAGCCATACCTGAAGCCGCTGCACCTGTGGACTTTTCAATTCTATAAGCAGATTTTCCTTTTTACTTGAACCAGCTTGAAGTGGGTTTCTGACACTTTCAGAAAGAGTTCTGACTTCTTAAGTGACCCAGCTGAGCCAAACTGAGCCCAACCAGGACACAGAGTCGGGCTGACTGCAAAGTAGATGATGCCTCAGAGATTCTCCTGGCATGGGAATTTGGGGAGGCTTTTTTGCATGAAAGAGGAGAGAGGAATAAGGCCCCAGCATTGTTGGAGAAAACAAGGATTGCTGAAGGGAATGTTGTGCATTCTTGCAAAAAATAGCGTAGAGGAAAATCATTCCAGGGGACACCCAGGAAAATCCAGGGAGACCGAGGTGGAGGCATGGCTGAAGTCCTCCAGCTGTACATGGAGGTATTAAATTTTAAAGTCACCCTTCTGTGCCCTCAGGTTGGTGAGGCTCAGACTTGCTCAGATTACATGAGAACAGCATCTCACTGACAGCTGTCAGTTGATCTGGGATGAGGGACTGAGAATCTGCTCAGGTGATGATGTTTCTGGTCCACAGAGCTTAGGAGACTTAAAAAAACTGAATCCAGCCCCCACCCTTTATATTGCTACTGCTAAAGACTGACCACCCATTGGGACAGAGCCCCAGCAGGAAAAAAGGATACCATCCTCCCAGGCCAGGCCAGGCCAGGCCAGGTCAGTGGGAAACAAGACCATTCCCATGAATGGGCTGAATGGTTCTTCCAAAGAGGCCAAAGCTCTATGTGCAAGGAAAGACTCAGTCTTGGGATTTAATTTTATACAATAAAATAGTGCCATTTATTGAACATTGCTATGCACCAGGTACCACATGTCAGCCACTTTAAACCATTATTTGCTTTGTCCTTACAAGAGCTTTATAAAGTAAGCATTAGTGTCCCCATTTGGTAAAGGAGCAAACTGAGGCATGCTTCTGGTTTCTGCCTTCCAGGGGCATGGGAGGACTGCACTTTCTGGCTCCTTGTGGACAGGGCCAATGAGGAATGAGTAGAAATGACAGGTGCCTCGTTCAGGATGGAGCATTTAATTGCTAGTTCAAGTCCATCCACGCCACCTTTCCCTAGGTCACTGTGATTGGCAATATTCAAGATGGTGGTGGCTCCATCAGCAGGGCCTTTGATGTGGAGAAAGCAGAGTCTCCAACTGACCCATAGTAGACCCATGGCATGCATGACAAGTAAATCTTTGTTGTAATAGCGAGTTCTTGGGGCTGTTTGTTACTGCAACATACCTTGCTTATCCTGACTTATACATGTAAGGAAGCTCCAACAGCTAGGACTTCACAAGGGTAGGATTTAACCTAGACTAGGATTATTCCAGAGCCTCTGAAGTCAATGCAAGGCAGGTAACAGGTGTGTCCAAATCTCTGGTAAATCCTTCCAGTTCCTTCCATCCACAGCTCAAGCCCCTCATACCTCTCATGTTTGCAGCCATTGGTTGAGCCACCATCAACCGAGTCACTCTGCAAACAGGATGAGCAAGAAGGTTTGTGGGTACTGGGTTGCCACAGGGACGGCAGGTTGCTCATGGAGACATCCATCAGGTCCTGGGGCACTGTGGCGGGCAGAAGGGGCAGAGGAAGAGCCCTGGTTGAGTCTATGTGGGTTACAGAAACCTCACCCAAAACAAGCAGCTCACTCCGAGGGCCAGCACAGGGATAGGAAAAGCCCCTCAATGTCACAGTAGGAAACAGCAACCCCAATCATTGTCTGACCCAAGTCCTTGAGCCCATGTGATCCAATGAAAGCCACAACCAAGATTTGGGGCCCCCCAGCAAATGGGTAGAGCTGATGCCAATGAGGAGAGAGAGGAAAAGAACAGAGAGAGAGGCCAGAGCCAAGAAAACAGGCCCAATCCCAGAGCAGGAGGCCAAGCCTCACACCATGTTGTCATTCAGCTGTCCTCACGGGGCTGACGTGAAAGGAAGGGGAGCCTGCTGGGGGTCTTCTGGGGAAGGCAGATGGTCCCCAGTCCCGAGAGACAGACTCTCTGGGTGGTGAGGCAGAGGGAGCCTGACTCATCTGACGCGGCAGGGCACACAAGGGCAGGAGCCCCGCGGAGCGCCCACTGATGAACATGAGGGCACCCGCACTGTCCATGGTGCTGAGTCATATAGCTGCCCCACCAACCGGGTCTCGAACAAGCTGGCGACCCCCACAATCATGTGGGGGCCTGTTAAAAAGTCATAAGCCTGTATCCCACCCCTGACCTAAGGAATTAAAACCTTCTGGTTATACAGCCCTTCAGTCTGTATTTCAAAAACAGTTTTGATATAGTAGCCATGTTTGAGAGCCAAGAAGGCATGACTGATCTCCTAACTCCTGGACACTGGTGATTCCTGACCAACTGCTCCCAAGACACAGCATTTAAGTTTCCCTTATTGCTTTCCTTCCCAGCGTCATGGAAACCACAGCATCTATAATGCTGCAGGGCAACATACCAGTGACCTAAAAATCAACTTCTACAGTTAACTTCCTGGCCTCTTGGCAGTTTGAGACAGGTGCAAGAAAAATTATGTTCTCTAGGACAGGCTCAATAAATATTTTCTGTAAAGAGCCATGTAGAAAATATTTTTGGATGTGTGAGCCATTTGGGTGCTATGGTAACCACTCAACTCTGCTGTGTGGTGCAAAAGTAGCCATAAACAAAATGCAAACAAGTGAGCATGGGTGTGTTCTAATAAAACTTTATGGGCACTGAAGTGTGTTTCATATCATTTCCACCTGTCACAAAATATTATTCTGCTTTTGATTTTNCGTGTTCTAATAAAACTTTATGGGCACTGAAGTGTGAGTTTCATATCATTTCCACCTGTCACAAAATATTATTCTGCTTTTGATTTTATTTTCAGTTATTCAAAAAATGTAAAGACCATTCTCAGCCCCTGGGCTGTGCAGAATGAGGCTGATTTGGCCTGCAGGCCATCGTTTGCCAAGGCCTATCCTAGGAAATTAAGAGGGGTGCATCTCTGCCCCTGTGTCATGTGTCTTTAAGGATGACTGGTAATACCTGGCCTCTTCCCTTGGGCTCCAAGGCAGGGGGAGTTGTGGACGTAGACCCACTTGTCATCAGAGCTCAGTGGCTGACAGGGTCGGACCCTACCCAATGGCTCAGGAGACACCTGCCTCCAGAATGAGGTTTGGGGGGCCACCAAAAGTTACACTACTCCTTCCCAAGCAGACTCACCAATGAGCTGGCCAAGAGTGACCAGTAAGCCCCTATAAGATGTCCTAGAAAAATGGTCCCAGTCTTAGTCTCAGGGAAGCGTTGATCGGTAGTGTCCAGGTGTGGCAAACCTGCCTCTGTCCCCAGCTCCTCCCACCCTGTAGACGTCACCAATGGATCCCTTTGCTCCTGAACCTACAGCACTCCAAGCTGCAGCCTGCAGGGTACAGGCTGGACAGCATCAGGGCATCGCTTTGCCTTTCACCTCCATCTCCACTGGGACCAAGATTCAAATGACAACATGGCAGAGGCGGCTGGCACCCAGTCCCAGGGGTGTGGGGACCCAGACATTACTGGGGGGCTGCTGCTTCGAGCCGGGCGTGGGGAGGGTGGCATCCCATCTGGCTTGTGCCCAGTGACTGCCCCTGGCCACCACCAGCACAGAGCGGCCTGCAGGAACCACCGTCCAGGCAGGGCCCACGGAGACGGGGGACGTGCCGCCCAAGGGGTCGGGAACAACTTGAGACACAAAACAAAAAGCGCCGGTGAAATGGAAGGTCTGAGGTGGGCAGCACACTGAACCAACCAGAAGAGCCAGTTCCTT